GTTAATAAGTTATATGAGTTTTAGACAACCAGAGTAACATTAGCTATTTATCCTGATAATTATAACGTTACTATTTTACTTTAAACCTATGAATATTGTATGAATAATTGACTTTTAGTAAAATTATAATTTAGATATGTGACTCGATTATATGAAACAGCGACAATTATTTCTATGAGTAATATGAGATTAAGATTTTTATAGAACGTGGTGCATTGGTTTACTATGATACATGCTCCAAATAAAGCTTAATCCTATATTACTCATAGAAATAATTGTCCCTCTTTCATATAATCGAGATACATATATAATAAAAATAGCTGTGGTTGTCTAAAACTCATACCATTAATAATTATTTGTAAATATAATATTTATATATTATTTGTTTGTTAAATAAAATTATTGACTGCAAATAAATCATACCTTGGTATCATTGCATTCATGAAACTCATATTAGTTAAAAGTCTAACTAAACTATACTTCAACTCCATTAACGCAAATTGAGAACCAATGCAATTGCGAGGGCCGGTACCAAAGGGCAGGGTATTTAATATAAACAATTTTATTAAATGAAAAATTGATTTTATTTTAGCATTTTGATTAAAATCAGATTTGACATTACATGACTACAATTATTTATTATAGCTATATTACAGCAATATAATTAATTATAATTTATAAAACTACTTAATATAAAAATATCTACAATTGACGTAGCTTAATTCTGACCATCACATTTTTCATAATGGCAACTTGTAACAAAGGATTAAAATACTCCAGGTTCTACATTATAAACGAAATAATTAATATAACAGTATTCATTCGGCTATCCGAGAAAATACATACCGGGGTCTCATCACAGGCCAGGAACTCATATCTGGTCAACAGTTTAACCAAATTATATTTCAACTCCATTAACGCGAACCGCATACCAATGCAATTGCGGGGGCCGGTAGCAAACGGTATGAACGTGCAGTCCTTAATCATATGCTTATTATCAGGCAAAAATCTATCAGGCTTGAATTCCTGCGGACTATCAAAATACTCTGGGTCACTGTGCAGTGACCAGGTAGGCATTATGATAATGGTGCCTTTGGGTATATGTATGCCGTCTAACGTTACATCCTTTGTGGCCACCCTTTCCACCCTATATTACAAATATTAATAATTAAGCATGGTTAAATGTAGCTATTTATAAAATAATATTGCTATTTTAAACTGACCTGGTTGCCGCGGCATTGGTACGCAATATCTCGCTGACCACGGCATCCAAAAAAGGCATTTTCATGAGTTTGTCGTAATCAATGTCTGTGTTGTCATCAAATGTGGTCTTAATCTCGTCGACGAGTCTATTCTGATGGCTAGACTCGAGGGCCAGTTGTCTGATGAGGAATGACAGTGTGGTGGCAGTGGTCTCATACCCGGCCGCAAACAAGTTAATACTTTG